TTATTAAATGCAGTTGGTTGGAGAAACCTGAAGCGATCAGTTTCTGGTTGGCTGGTGGACACTTCTGTTCTCAGGCATATCTTGCTGCTATTACAACTCTAATTGTATACCCTTTAGTATCATTGAGAAACAAGAGGAAAAATCATTGTAATGAAATCCAGTAATGTATGCTGGGCATAGCAAAATATCCCCTCAATTAGCCATTCTGTTTTCTTGGAGTAAATGATTTTGAAAGATGTTGACAAATAGTTTAACCTAATCTGTTACTTGCCTTCCACTTAAGCCTGGAAATAGAGTCTGCAGCTGGTATCTAGACAGTGAAGTTTCAACCTGAGAATGTATCCTCATATCTGTTGGGACTTCTTAACATTTTGTGTATTTTTTTCTGAACTCCTTCATCTGTTGATTACCCAGAGTAAGAAAGGGCAAGGTGAACTTAATCCTGATAAAAAGATCTGCTTCAGATGGACTATAGCTAGCTCATTTATCTCAAGGCCTTCTCTGATACAAACTAGCTGTATCCAGGCCAACAAAGCTCAATCTATCTGTATAGTCTGTGTCTTGGCATTGGTAGGGATATTCATAGGTTCATTGGCATTGCTAGGGTGTTTATACCTGGATACCTTATCTGCTTCTCGTAAGTTGGAAGCCTGTGTGCATGGATGGTGAAATACAAACTTAAAACTCACATTAGGATTTTACATATCTGATGAAGTGGGTTTTACACATGAAAGCTCATGATCCTATATATTTGTTAGTCTCTAAGGAGCCACAGGACTACATGTTGCTTTTAAAACCCACAAGTCCATCATCACACCCATCAGTGAAGTACTGCAAAAAGCAATCCAGTAAATCTTTGCCACTATGAACCTGGAAGCCTGTGTGGATGGATGGTGAAATACAAACTTAACTCACATTAGGATTTTACATATCTGATGAAGTGGGTTTTACACATGAAAGCTCATGATCCTATATATTTGTGTCTCTAAGGAGTCACAGGTCTACATGTTTCTTTTAAAACCCACAAGTCCATCATCACACCCATCAGTGAAGTACTGCAAAAAGCAATCCAGTAAATCTTTGCCACTATGAACCGTTCTCAATACGTAGTAAATTATTCTTTACATTTAAGTCTTCTCTTTATGTACAGCCAGATTAACAATAATTGAGGCTACGAACAGTACAGATATAATGTGCATATGGATATTTCTAAAGAGAGCAAGGTGCTTATTTAGTATCAGCCCTTTAATCTATATTAAGCTTGATGTTTTATGCAGCCTAGTGTAATCCCTCTTCTGAAAACTACAGATGTGATGTATGACTTTTGAAATTATATCCTTATTGCTACTTTAATCCAAACACTGAATAATATGACTTCCAGCAAGGTCTGAACGTTTAAATACCATGTAATAACATAATCCAGCCTTGAAATTCAGACAGGATAAACAAACGTAAATGCTTCTAGATTTCTAGCAGACTAATTTCTTCTCAGATTCAAACTCAGGCCCAGATTTGCAAAGGAAGTGAGAATTTTTGGATGGTACCCGTAGAAATACTATTATGCCTTTAATTTAGATAAGAGTTCCTATGAGGAAGAACCTCCAGTAAAGTAGCATAAATGTTTTAGACACCGGAGAGCCACATGAAATGTAAATGTGCTTAATCTATTTTTGAACGTTCTGTAATCTAATATGGGGATTCCCTAGAGCAATGTTTCTTAAACTTTTTAAGACCGAGGAACACAAAACAATTTTTTTTATGGGGAACATAAAGAATTATTTTGTTGAGCAAAAAAAAGGAGGCTTGCCCCTTTAAGGGTGGCCATTCCCCAGGGAAAAGTTGTTGCCCAAAAAACAAAAACAGCAAAAAGGCGTGTCCCTTTAAGGGCAGCCATTTGAATTCTGTTCTCTCTGCAGCACACCACCGACTGCCTTGTGGCACACCGGTGTGCTGTGGAACACGCTTTAAGAAAGGCTGCCCTAGAAGATCACTCCCCATAATTGTATTGCCTCCCCATAAGTTTCTTATGTCAGGCTCCCTTGTCTCTGCTCAGCGGAAGAGTGTTATAGGGTGTCAAGTGCCACTATCCAAATGTGGGCGTATCATGCTACCTGTGATGAACACTATATCCAAGCTTTGGGTTTTTTTGGCAGACAAACTGTTGTTGTTCTCTTGTCTTCTTAACCTTGGCTTTGATGGATATTTGGCAGTACCAAGACTGAGTAACTCTCTTGACTTAAACATGCGCCAACCTGCCGGAAGAGTCACACTCTGATTCTGCTCCTAACCCAAGGCTGCTGTCATTGCTGTTTAGTCAGAAAAAATGGTGATATAAGATCTGAAGCAGAGCCAAATGGAAAAGATTTTCTCCACAATGGATTGAGAAGCATACCTTCATTCTTTAAGACAAACCCAGTGACGCAAAAATAACGATGAATTTAAATTAATTTCCCAGCCTGTAAGACATATAAAATAAAGGTTTTTTTGCATATCATTACCTTCCTTTCACTGCCAAAAGAAATAAATATGATGTGTCAGACAGTTTTCTGATTTCATTTGTAAGGTTCTAGAGAGAAGGCTGGCTTTTTCCAAAGCTATGTATTTTTTTTATACTTTTCAAGTCTCTTGTATGTTTGGCGGGTGTGAGGGGGGGGGAAAGAAGTTCTGAAGGGAGGGATTACATAAATCGATGCCCATCTACATATTAATTTTTTTTAATCTGATGTTCTCATTTTTTACTGTATTAAATAATATGGTGCCATCTTTTCTTGATCAACCAACCTTCCTGAAAACATTTATTCCATCATTTCTTCCCTGGAGAAAAGTGCCAAGAAAAGTCACTTTAGAGCCTGCTGATTGTGTAGATAGCCCTTAACCTAGGTCCGAGACACTCAGGAAACGGCTCCTTTTCTCCAGTCACCCTTTCAAGGCAACCTAAGTTGGCTAGGTTATCAATAGACTCTTGAGACTTAGGTCAGAACTGGGCATGGGTGTGCATGGACAGAGGCTGTGTCTATATTTAAGCCTGTATAGGTCTGTCACTTTAGTTAATCCACCTCTAAGAAGTAATAGGTTGACAGAGGTACTGTCTATACGGCGAGTTATGTCAAAATAGCTACGGCGCTTGGGTGTGGCTTTTTCTCACACTTGAGAGACTTAGCTATGCCAGTATGTGTTTTCAGTGTAGAGTCCGTGCACTTCCTTCTGAGTCAGACTGCTAGAGTTCTTCTGCTACTGTTTTCAGGCCTCACTACAAGACGCTTCTGTTCATTTCTTATGACTAAGGCCCTACCAATTGCCCGGCTGTGAAATACATGACAGACCATGATATAAGCCCTTCTGTGTGGAATCTGATCTCCCCATGCTTCTGGGAGCATGCCACCTACGGGCAGGAGAGGCAGATAGCCACACTGGGCCTCTTGGTGAGATAGGGGCAGCCCTGCTGTGTTCCTGGGAGGGGCGGGGCTTCGGGGGGGGCAGGGCCGGGGGTAGCTGCCATGCCCTGTGCCTCCAGCCATTGGAGCCATCTGGAGTGTGCCATGTGGTGCTCTGGCAATGATTTAAAGGGCCCAGGGCTCCAGTTGCTGGACTGGACCCCGGAGCAGTTGCCCCCTTTATCCACCCTAGCCCTGTCAGTGGGATTTGGCCCCCTTCCTCTGCGTGCACACTCTTGATGGGGAGATCTGACCTACCTCCAGAGACAGCACAGAAGTGTAGGTGGTCGACTCTCACTTCTGTGCTGCAGCAGCCCTGGAGCTGGGCATGGGATGTCCAACCTCCACAGGTCCACCTGCAGCTCGGGCATCTGGGTGCTGGGTTTCTGCGCCCCTGGGCTAATTGCCACTGGCTGGTGCGCACTTCCAGCAACAGCAGCCGATCAGATTCACTTCCACTTCCAGGAGCCTCCTGCTGCAGGAACAGAGCGCTGCATCTGAGAAGGCATCACAGAAGTGAGGGTGGCAATCCGTGTTCTCTCTAGCTGAGCACTTGGACGGCCACCCAGGAGAGATTCAAATGCTGCCCAGCTGATTAGCCAAACACCCATAGTGCCCACAGCCAGCAGCATGTGTGTCTACTGGTGATGCACATTTACACATGCCTCGGTGCACACAACATTTATTCCTCACCTAGATGGAAAAAATTAGAGGAACATTGGTGGCAATCCCATGATTCCCTGCAATAGCTTTGACTCTCCTGTCCACCCCCTCCCACTCATTTTTGGGATTTGGACCAATGTTCCCTCTAATCTTTTCCATCCGTGTGTGGATTTTTTCCATCCATGTGCAGAATATTTTTTTATGTACACAAGGGTCTGTGCAAATGTGCACCACCCGTAGCAACAAAAAAATCTAGCTCTGGGCACTCTGCCACTCACCTGGCATCTGAATCTCTCCCAAGCGCTGCTGATTAATCACCTGTGAAACTATGCTTAAAGGGAACCTTCTGGTTACATTGTGAAATTTTAAAATCTAAACATCAGAAAGGGTGAAATTGACCAATTTAAAAACATGATGGCTGTGAAATTGACCAAAATGGACCGTGAATTTGTTACGGCTCTACTTATAATTATATTATCTCTATCCCTTTTTGCATTTTCATAGTGTCTATTAGCCCTAGTCATTAACAAACACCTTGTTGCACTAAGTACGTCCTGAGAGAGTTTTGTTGATATGGTTGACTCCTTTAAGAATTAGGCTTAGATTGATGTGATTTTTTTTTTTTAAAGCTAGGTTATTATGGAGAGTATCCCAGAAAGGGTGCTTCATAAACTTTAGTTCCCCTATTGGACAGTGATTTGGAACATGAAACTGAAAGGGGATTTATGGAGATAGTGAAGTTTCTTAGCATCAATGTATAATGTTCAGTTTATTATTTTATCAATTGTATTTCTCAGAATTGAGAGCCCTATAATTAACTGTATTTTTGTCTGGGTTTTTTCCCCCCCTCACAAATGCCCCTTCTTATTTGTCACCTGATGATGATTCTTCTGGGAACTGCAGGAGCCAGCCAAAAGTAAGTTTTTTGTTTACACTTTAAAACAGTTGTGAAAAGCTGTGGTGTATCACTTGTTTAGCTTTCAGTTATCCAAATATTTACCCTTTTTAAAAAGTGCAGTTGATCAGCTGTTGTTTCTCCAAAGAAAAACAAAACACCAAACCACATGCTCTTCAAAGAATCTCTTTGCCTCAGAAGACCATTGCATGTCTCTAGCCAAAAAAAGTCACAGAAACAAATGAGAACATAGTTAGCATTGAGGACTGTGAATGAATAGAATGTTTGTTTTAAAGCATTTTCTGTTATCTGCATTAGAGCAAGCTCATTGCTACTGCCTTACATTCCCTTCATTTTTTGCATTTTGTATGCAGCAGCCTCTTATCTCTCCTTCCCACCTTCAAAATTTTAGTTTATTGGCACATCTATATAGTAATGACTTATTGTTTTAAACAATGTGTAAATGGAACTGGTAAAATCAATCCTGTAAAATTACAGTAAGTCAATTGGCTCAAATTTGATAAAGCACAAAAAAGGAAAGCAAGTTAAGGTGGTGTTTTTTGGAGGAAGGTTAGACTAGCATCAAAGGATATGTCAGCTAGCCACCTATATAGCTAATAAAAGAAGGAAACCTTTTTTGGTTTGATTTGATTGTAGTTTTTATAAGAAGTCTTGTTGGTTTGTTTTACTACAGGTGTTTGCATACGATCACTGTTTCTGGTCTATGGATGAATCTGTAAAAGAAAAATATGCAGGTAATACCGTAGCTTTGTGATTGCACTCTGTTTACACACAGCAATGAAAAGGAAAGTATCTAATTACAGTCATGTATTTGGTAAAGGTCAAAGACCATATAGCATGGAAAGCCTTTTTTCTGTGTGGTTGCTCATTGTCAGGAGAGAAACCAAAGTCTTAAAATTACTATGTTAATCCTTCCTTCTAGTCAAACCTAACATTTAGAATAGTGGCAGACAGCCAATCAACGTGCGTTACAATCTATACAATTTGATGAATGTAACTAATTTGCCATTTTGATTGATATACAATATCTCCATTAAAACACTTACCTCAATATGATTTAAAATATTTCGGTTCCTATTTCTGCACATAATTTGAGAATCAATGCCAAGTACATCTTTGTGGTAAAGCTTCCCCACGCCCAGGCCAGTTCAGCAAAACAAGTAATTTCACTGTAGTACCTTTCAGAACTGGAGTCTAAGTCTTTAGTGGAGCCTAAAGGCTGTTTGGTGGTTTAAAGCAGGGGTCTCCAAACTACGGCCCGGGGGCCGGATGCGGCCCGCGAGGCCTTCTCATCCGGCCCGTGGAGACCTTTTTGGATTCAAAGGCAGAAGAAGTGAGATTGTTTCAAAACCCATTTGAAGCAGATGTGGCCAGTTGCCCAGATGAACTGCAGCTGGAAGTCATTGAGTTGCAAGCAAATGACCTCCTTAGGGACAAGTTCAAAATAGGACTGGTGGGTTTTTACCAGTTTTTGCCCAAGGAAGACTTTCCTAATGTCAAAACTTTTGCATCAAGGTACCTTTCAATCTTTGGAACAACATACCTGTGTGAACAAACATTTTCAAGAATGAAATACGTGAAGAACAATTTGAGAACAAACTTGTCCGATGATAATCTCAGGTCACTGTTGATGTTAGGGACAACAAATCTAAAGCCAGAAATGTCTATTTTGGCATCCAGGAAACAATTTCACCATTCACACTAATACAGGTGTTCATGTGTAGTGTATCAATGTGTTATTAAATAATAACTGAATAAAATAATATTAAATAAATAATTAAAAACAACATCCATGTTTTGATTGTTTTTTATTTGGACCTCAAGTGTGTAGTCGGCCCCCGAACTGCTGTTTGATAGTTAATGCGGCCCTCGGGCTGAAAAGTTTGGAGACCCCTGGCTTAAAGGATCAGTCCTGCTCCCACTGAAGTTTTATTGATTTGAATGGAAGCAAAACTGGGCCTTGTACACCCAAACGTAGGCCCATATCCTACAAAACTGAGCTGTACATGAAGAAAAGCCCTTAAATGCTTTTGAAAATTTTTACCCATAGTATGTTATCTTTTCAGACCTTCAATCCAAAGAAAACATGGCCCCATTCTGTAATCAGGCAAAATTCCTATTAACTTCAAATACAACTTTGTTCGGGGGGTGGAGGGGGGGGGGAGGACTGATAACAGTATATGTAAGTTATTGGACTACTTTGGTTATTGGTTGAAAGAAAATTTTTATGGAAGAGAGCTTTTTGAGAGAAGAGCTCTGAATATTTGATGTATGATTTATAGTATTTTGCCATCTGCCTATGTGTTATATAATTATCTGACACTTTCTTTGACAGGGTAACAAGTTGTGTGGATGGGGTGGGAAGCAGTAGATGTGATGCATCTAGAATTGAGTAAGGTTTCTGATACTATCTCTCACAACCGTCTCATAAACAAACTAGGGCAGGATAGCATAGGTGAAACTGCTATCAGGTGGGTGCACAGCTGATTGGAAAACCATACTCAAAACTAGATATCAGTGGTGATATGCCCTTCCAGCTTTATTAAGTAGGGAGCATCTCATGTGTATTCTGGCTCTATTCAGTATCTTCCAAAATGATTTGGCTAATGGCATAGAGAGTACACTTACAAACTCTGCAGATAGTGCCACACCGGGAAGGATGATAAATATTTCAAAATGGATCTTGACAAATTGGAGAAACTATCTGAAATACAACAAGGCCAAATGCAAAGTACTGCACTTACAAATAAGAAGCAGTTGTACCAATACAAAATGGGAAATGACTGTCCGGGAAGGAGAGCTGCAGAAAAGAGTCTGGAGACTACAACAGATCAAAACCTAAATGAATCAACATGATACTGTTATAAAACATTTCATATCATTCTAGAATGTGTCAGCAGGAGTGCTGTACCCAAGAATTCTTCTGCTCTACCCAGCACATGAGACTATTATAGAGCACAGGCCCCTTCTGGACACCATATTTTGGGAAAGATTTGGACAAAGTCCAGAGGAGCTCAAGAAAAATGATTAAAGGTCTAGAAAACATGGTCTATGAGGAAAATGTTTTTAAAAATTGGATTTGTTTAGTCTGGAGAAGAGAAGATTGAGAGGGGACATAATAGTGGGAAATAGGTCAATGGAGGGATGATAGGAGTTACTATAGAGAACTTTCTGGGTGTCTGGCTGGTGAGTCTTGCCCACATGCTCAGGGTTTAGCTGATCGCCATATTTGGGGTCGGGAAGGAATTTTCCTCCAGGGTAGATTGGCAGAGGCCCTGGAGGTTTTTCGCCTTCCTCTGTAGCATGGGGTACAGATCACAGCTGGAGGATTCTCTGCATCTTGGGGTCTTCAAAGTATTTGAAGGCTTCAATATCTGAGATATAGGTGAGAGGATTATTCTAGGAGGGGTGGGTGAGATTTTGTGGCCTGCACTGTGCAGGGGGTCAGACTAGATGATCATAATGGTCCCTTCTGACCTTAAAGTCTATGAGTAAGTCCTCAAGTACATAAGAAAGAGGCTGTTATAAAGAGGAAAGTGATAAGTTTTTCTCCTTAACCATTAATGTCAGGACAAGAAGTAATGAGTTTAAATGGCACTAACCTGATATTCAGATTAGAATTTAAGAAAAACTTCCTGACTGTAAGGATAATTAAGCACTATCCAGGGAGGTTGTGGACTCTGCATCATTGGAAGTTTTTTTGACAGGTTAGACAAATACCTCTTGAGGTAGTCTGGGTAATACTTCATCCTGCCTCAGTGCAGAGAACTGAATTAGATGACCGTATCAAGGTCCTTTCCAGTCCTACATTTCTATAATTGTGATTCACTGTACTACTACTTTAAACAAAATAAAATTGTCAAACTTTTTTCCACTCTAGGAAAAGGTGAATAGATTTTAAGGATGGCTAGTTTTACCCTCTACTTATTACAGTAGAAAAACTGTCTTCTATGTTGCTGAACTACATGCCTTATACTATGTTTCTCTCCAACTTGATTATGCTATTAAAGCTTTGCAGAGAAAAGACCAAAGTGATATGGCAGTCTTTTGCTATATTTTCACCTATTTCACAGAATATTGTAAAGTACACTTACTAATAGACCTTAAAGTATTACTTTGACAACTGCAGTTTAATTTTAAATGAACAACCTACCATTTATGGGTCTGTCTTTGTTTCACTAATGCACAACATTGTGTGGTTGTCAATAGATGGTAACTGAGGTTCTAATGGGTCTGAGAAACATTAATAGTGAATACAGAACCAGATTCTAGTTTAATTTTACAGCGATATAAATCTGGACCATAGACTTCAGTAGAATTATTCCAGGTTTACATCCATTATCCTTCTCTCAAGACACCTTACTGTCTCATTGAGATACATTATGGAAGGGGTATACTTTTTTCATACAGTTTTTTTTCTTTTCGCCTGATTTGGAATCTGAAGGACATGACTGTAAAAAGAAGTTATCACAGTTGTTATCATTTTTAACCTGAACCTCACTTTTTTTTTTAAGGTCAAGATGTTGTTTTCATGTGCCTTGGAGAGAACATTCTTCAGAATGCCTTTGAGGGCTACAATGCATGTATCTTTGCCTATGGACAGACAGGTACATTATTGCAAAGTATAAAATGCAGTGGTGATGAAAAGCATGTGTTGTGGCCAAAATAACTGTTGTTTGGCCAGCTTGGTGACATTGCTAGGTTTTTCCCCCGATATAGCAATATAGATAAGATGTGGGTGGGGTTTTTTCGTGTTTGTTTTTAATATTGATTGGGGGCTGAGAGGAGAAGGCATTTTGGAATAATATGGGTAAATTTCTGGTGCCCTGTTTTCCCATGCTGTAGATAAGTGTCTCCTGTCTGTGATCGTGACTGTCCTTGGGGTTGTTGCATGTTTAATGTTTTGTAATAGAAGATCCCTGACTGTGCATTTAAATAGTCATCGCTCATCATTTTTTAATTTGATAAACAATGATGGCTTGGCTTATTCGTTTGGCTGACTTGCACTGTGCAGGAGTGGAACTCAGGTAGGCATTACATTGATATCCAGGATAAGGATGCTCCTCCAAGTCCTTTCAGTTAATTTAAGTAGCTTGGCTTTTCCTTTGAGCTTTATTTAAGAAGCAGACTGTCCTTTAATTGGTGTTTTGGCTCCTTTACATACAGAAAATTGTGTTTAAAGACTATTCAACGAAAAGTTTCAAACCATTCTTTGCCCTTTACTTCCCCCTTATCCCCTTCACCCCAAAAACCCCCAATATAAAAGCACTAATGCTAGTTTCAAATGCACAGGATCTGGAAAATCTTACACAATGATGGGTACGGCCGACCAGCCTGGATTAATCCCAAAACTCTGCAGTGGTCTCTTTGAAAGAGCACAGAAAGAAGAAAACGAAGAACAAAGTTTCAAAGTGGAAGTGTCCTACATGGAGATTTACAATGAGAAAGTTAGAGATCTCCTTGACCCCAAAGGGTAAGCAGTACAAATGGAGAGGAGGCTTGACCATGGACTCTTGTTTCTGTGACCTCAAGTGGTCTCCCTATCTTGCCCTAATAGACTCCCTCTCAGGCATCTATCAGGTACAAGACCTAGCCCTGTTATGGGATAGTGTTGTGTTCCTGACCACCCCTTCAGCCCCTCACCTCCAGATATCTGCTTTGTTATTATTTAAAGACCCAGCATATGCCAAACAATTACCCTAGTGCTCAAATTGACTTTCATGAAGTGATATGCAGGCAAATGCCAAGGCTGCATGTAGAGACGGGTAAGTTTTTGTCTAGTGCACTACAATGCTTGCTTCCTGCTCCGAATGGTAGCTACAGTGTCTCATCATATCTGTTGCTTTGAATGGTAAGCTGATGAAAAACGTGGTTTTACTGAAAACTTTATTGTATTTAGATGACTGCACGTATATAAATACAATTTTTTTTTTTTTTAAAACAGAAGCCGTCAGTCATTAAAAGTCAGAGAGCACAACGTCTTTGGCCCTTACGTGGATGGCCTTTCTAAACTGGCTGTTGCCAGCTACAAGGTAAGGGATTATTTTAAGGATGGAATAGATTTTGAAATTAACAGTAAAAAAATATCATTCTTCAAGTTATTTACAGTATTGAGATTATTTTTATAGTAGGCTTTTGTAACTAAAGAATTGGGTGGATATGGTTAAAGGAATCCTTTTATGAAAGTCTAAAACATGTGAGTTTACCACTTAATATGGGCGAGGAAGGAAATAGATCACTTACAAGGCTGGATTTAACAGTTCTTCCTTATTGAAACCTAACTCATGCTAACGAGGCTATACAAACAAAAACAGTTTGGCCATGTACCAGGCTGACAAAGAAGGTTGATGCATTGCTTGTGCTGGAGAAAATAAAATCCAGATACCCAGCTATGTGCTTGGAGGCTTTCATCTCTCTGTGCCCCCATTTCCTCAAAAGAGATTAAAGATTAACTGGGTAGTTTCTGTAAAACAGTTAAGATCCAGACTTCATACTGTTGCATAGTAGTCTGCCACCGAATACGAGATTGCAAGAGCCGACGTTCGTAGGGCTCAGGCTTGAACACCTTGCCAGTTTGCTGGGAAGATTGTTGTACATCTTAGCTGCTGTTTTCCTCAGGTGGGCATGGTAACTCGGTGTGTGGTGTAAGGTCCTGCCTGGATAGCCCGGTTTTACTTCATGCTTCACCTTCTGACGATAGTTTAGATTAACATTCAGTTCCTGGGTTGTGGAACAAACTGGAGACTGTTTTTATGATGGTTGGCTATAGGTGCCACGTCCTACATCCGTCAGCTAACTTTTCCAGCTGTCTTGGTTTAAGAAGGTGTCAACCTTGTGAAACGTCCGGGCCTAGGTACTGTGGCAGATGTCTGCATAAATGAACTTTCAAGACTCTTGTGGAAAGTCACTGATGTAAAGGTTGAAAATGATTGGAGAAAACACAGAGCCCTGAGAGAACCCATTGGTCTGTCTCTAAGCACTTGTCTTTTCCCCCACATGGACTCTGAAATCTGCCTATCAGACATACAGTTCAGTGACACCAGTGAACCAAGCTAACAGGACCCATGATACTTTCATGAGCAGGCCAGTGTGCTATACTGTATCCTATTCCACTGTTAGATCAATTAAAACAATAATGTTTTCAAGTTTCTGTGGAAGCCATTTACAATTAACATGGTCAGCGTGAGTACTTTGTCACATGAGCTACAGCCTTGGTGAAAGCTGGCTTGGTCAGGGCTCAAAATGCTCTCCGTGACAGGTAATATGCACTGTGTAGGACCAAGCGCTCCAGTACCTTAAAGCATACCAACAGTAATGATAAGGGATGATAGCTCGATGCTTGATGTAGGTCCTTTCCAGCCTTTGGGAGACCAATGACTTCACAATGCACCATATCTTTGGTAGCCTGCTATAGTGATGCTGTAGCCCATTGGCCACAGACAGGCCAATCAGAGTGAGGAGCAGTCAGCCAATGAGGAACAGGCTGGGCCCTATAAAAGGCTGCAGAGTTGAGGGGAGTTCTCTTACTCTGACCAGAAAGGGAGAAAGAGCGGTGTCCCAGTTGCAGCAACACCTTGGAGAAAGCACGGTTGGGTAGGCCCAGGGGAGCTGGAGAGAGGCACCAGCCTGATCCCTGCCAGACTGAGAGCCTTGAAATAAGGGCCGAGAAAGTGCAAGGGTCATGGGGAAATGGCCCAGGAAGCGTGAGCAGTCAAGGGAAGCGAAGGAGGGCAGGAGATGGCAGCTGCCGGAGGGTCCCTGGACCAGCACCCAGGGTAGTGGCCAGGCCTGGGTCCCCCCCATTCCTCCTTGAACCATACCTAGCCACCTTGAAACATGGCCTTTACAGACTGCAGCTTTCCCTGAGGTAAGGGGCTAAACTTTGGGTCTCCAGTTGGCCACAGTGGCAGGTGTACTGATGATGGAGGATGGGGGCAGGACTGATGGAGGATGGTGGGCACTGCCGAAGGACAGGGTCTTGAAGTGGACACTGTGGTCCAAGGGGCCAAGCAGCTCCCATGCCAGAGGATGGAGCTAGGGGAGCAGAATGACAGCAGGTGAGACATGACACAACCAGAAGGCAGCGCACCCCATACACTGAGCAGATTCCCGGTGTGACCAGCAGGGGGCGCTGCAGTGGGGTGACTCAAACCTTGTTACACATGCCTTCACTGATGACCCTGGTAAAGAACTGCACAAGTCAAAGTTGAGTATGGCAGCCAAGATATTACAGGAATTCTGGAGCTATATTGTCATAATCTGCAGCTGTTCCACACTTGATGCTACCAGTGTCTGTTCCAAGTCTGATACAGTGAATGGCTCTTGGCAGCTTCTGATCTAGTGTACACATTTAAACGTGCCATTCATTCCTCGCTCCTCTTTGCACCTGTTTCTCCAAAAGGTGCTCTGGCCAATTTAAGTAGGTGTCCAGCTGCCTGGTTGGGTGTCACTGAGGATAGGGTAAGTGTAGGTGGTGGCTGCAGTGCCCCAAGGAGGTTGGAGCAGACTCCTACACTTGCAGCTGGCTCGGCTAGCTGCGTCCCACAATTGTCAGAGGGTCATCGACATCTGGGTCACCGGATGCCTCGTATTCCCTGTGCAAGGCAGCGCGCTCCTCATTGGGTCGGGGGGATGTAGATGAATGGAATGTGCCTCGCTGGATAGTATCATGGATACAGGTGTGGTTGTTTTGAGATCTCCAGTCGGGAAGTTGTTCCCCATTGGTGTCAGCCTCCTTTATTCCCCCATTCTTTGTGGTGACTGTTGGAGTTTCCAACTTAAACAGCTAGATGTGGCCAGATGGAAACCACCAATCTGGATGGTACCACAGAATTTGGTGAACATCAGCTGAATGACATCTGCAAGGTTAGACTGAATATATATGGCTCAGCCCTACTTCGAGTGTACAAGTCATAGCCACTGATATTATAATGCTCCACTTCAACAGGTGTCACATTCCAATGAGCGGGAATGCCAAGTAACTCACACTTGGCAACTGGCAAACTCTCAGCGTTGAGTTCTAGAATGTGTAGAGCTGGTCCAATGACATAGAGGTCACTGGTTTGCACGTTGGGGTTGTCGGTGATGCTGGTACTTGTGGAATTTGGCTAGCTGGTTGGATCATTAGCTTCCCTGACTGCTGTCAGGTACAGGGATTGGTCCTGTCTTGGGCATGGGGCTGGAACCTCCTGAGGTCTATTCCAGTTCTATGATTCTATGACAAGTGTCTCGACGAGTACACACACACACAAATTTTATTTGGGTCAAACAAAGACCCAAAATAAAATTGATGGTTAATGTACATATAGTGATGCTGTTTACATTAAATTAGGCTAATTGATTGTTTACTCTTAACTTAAACAATATTGCGATTGATTTTTTTAAAGGTTTTAAAATTGAAATAAAATGGGGGGAACATGTCTATTAGACGTTTTACAAATAAATTTTTATTATCTATTGCAGTAAGTTAGTGAAAGCAATGTTTGTGCAGATAATGCCTAGGACACATAATTAAAGGCCTTTCAATTTTTTTTAGGACATAGAGTCTTTGATGTCAGAGGGTAACAAATCTCGAACAGTGGCTGCAACCAACATGAATGAAGAAAGCAGTCGGTCACATGCAGTCTTCAAGATCATCCTCACACACACACTGTGTGATGTACAATCAGGGGTAAGTAATAGCAGGAGATTTTCAGGTAGAGATTCTAACCTGGAATGTCATAGCCATTTGAATGATGGCTTTTGTAATATGTTTCAATAGACTGCTGTGATTGAGCACATATGCAATGAAGCTAGGCTTTATAGCTATTTTGATGGACATTTAAGATTGAAATGTGGCTTTTGAAATGCCATATAAGGATGCATACCCAAAGCTGCAGCAGATTTAATGAGTATTCCTCATCTGAAGCAATGAAACAGGTATTCTAAAACCAGAGTTTTTAATGCAGATTTGAGGTAGTAATATTTCTGCAAAATGGACTCCTTATCCTCTAGATCCCTTCTTAAAGCACCTCTTTGCCATGGTGCCTATAAAAAGCTTGACACCAGTCAGGCTGATGTGCTGGAATCACACCAACCAATATTGTCTGTTTTCTTATACTCCCATTTTGGTCTGTGTGTATCCATGCGTTGCCTCTCTTCTTCGATTAAGATTGTAACATCGTTGGGCCAGACTGTTGTGGTAGTCTGTGTGTTGTATAGCACCTAGCATAGCAGGGTCCTTTTCCCATGCTTGGGACTTCTAAGCGCTACAGTTATAAAAATAATCACGAATGGGGGTGGGAAACTGAAGCTGGAGCTGTGTTTGAATATAAATAACTGACTTTATCTGTCCCAAGAAAATATTTGAGGGAGATATTTTGTGAATGGGAGACTTCAGAATGCAGAAACCTTGGTGCATGTATGAAGATTTCATGTTGTAACTTTTTCTTGGGCTATTTTCAAATGTATGTTTACTGAATGTGTTATAAAGATTTTACCCTCTCTGTCAGGAGTACCTTCTTTCCTCTAATTTTGTTTACCATTTGACAAGAAATACATTTTTTCCATTGAATTTTACTTTACCTCGCAGCCTACTAGTGATGGCACAACAATTTTAACTTGAAAGTACAAAAATTCAAGGGAAATTCTGAAGACAAACTTAAACCCATTTGGTTAATCTTAAGCTAAATGTATATTTTCCCCATGAGTCCTCTGGTGAGTGTAAGAAGCTTTTAAAGGCAAAGCTAGTAGGACCAGAGAGTGTACTGATCACATTTTCAGATAACACAAAGCTAGAGATGAGGGAGTTGCAAATACTTTGGAGGATAGAATTAAAATTCAAAGGGATCTTGATAAATTGGAGAACTGGGCTACAGAGAGTAAAATGAAATTCAAAGAAGACAAAAATAAGGTGCTAGGCTTAGGAAAGAAAGAGAAAAGGCACAAGTTTAGAATGGGGAATAACTGGTCTGGCAGCTGCACTGCTAAGAAAAATCTGGGAGTTGTGTTAGATCAGAACTCCAACATGACTCAACATGATGCTGCTTCCGCTGCGCCAAAACCCCCCCAAAAAACCCAAAACATGTAATTTGGGGTGGCATTCAGAGGCATAGTATGCGAGTCACAAAAAGTGATGGTTCTACTGGGTAGGCTTCAGCTGTAGTGTTGTGCCCAGTTTTGATCACCGCTATATAGAAAAGATGTAGACAAACTGGAAAGGATCCAGAGCTGAACACCAAAGCTGGAATGCAAGCTATATGAGAAAAGCCTGAAGGAACTGGGTATCCTTAGTTTGGAAGAGATGAGATTAAGGGATAACATAATAGCAGACGTCATATACTGTACTTGAAAACTTACGATGGAGAAAAAATGTTCTTTTGCCACAGATGGCAGGACAAGAGGCAATAGGGTCAAACCTAGCTGATCTAGATTAAAGCTCAGGAAACATTTCCTAACCGTAAGAAACTTAAGACAATGGAACAAACTACCGTGGGAAGTCGTGGAAGCTCTTCAGTGGAGATTTTCAAGAGACTCGTTAGCTGTCTGTTTGCTTTTTTTTGTTTTAAAAATAAATAAATAAATAAAGATGCCGGTACTCCAGGGGAAAAGTTGTTGAGCTCTGACTGGAGGTGCCAGTACTGCATCTGGAGGTGCCGGTACTGCATACCAGGCAGTACCATCACAAAAAAAGCACTGGTTGAAAGACACAAAGTCCTGCATCTTTTCACAGGGTTAGACTAGGTGACCCTTGTGGTCCCTTCTAATCCCGAGAGTCTGTGAAAAGTGAACAATGTAATGCCAGCTGAGCATTCAGCATTATGGTTCACCACCTCCCCTCACTTTGAGGAGAGTGTGGAAAAACAAATTATACTGACTATACAACTGACAAAGTATTTAGCTTCAATGAATTTTATACTTTGATTTCATCCTCCCCTGGTTGTAGGAATGGGAGAGGTCTGGGAGGGATGGGTACAAGGCAAGAAATGGGTCTTTTCTGCTTGTGCTCTGTTTGGAGCACCTCTGGTTAATGGCTAAAAAAGAAAGAGCCAAAAATACCAACAAAATCTGTTAGTTGCATTCTCTATTTTTGTGTCTGTTAGATATTATTGGTGTCAAATAAGGGTTTTGTCCATGTCAGCTCCACTGCTTTTGTCTGAAATTTGAATTCTAGGTACATTTTATCAATTTATTATGGAAATGTGTCATAGATTCAATGTTGTGACTGTACTGCCGTATCTAAGATGGGCTCTGAAGGGGAGCGTGTGTATTCACATTGCACACACTTAATAGGGGTTGAATATTGAGTGCCTTGGAGTGGTATTCCTCTGAATAGCTGATAGATACCCACAAAGTGATTTTCAACTCCCTTTCTCCATTTTCTTATTTTTCTCTCTTCACATCCTTAATCTTTTTTTATTATCTAACCATTTTTCTTTTTCCTCTTTCCTCACCCCATCCACCATACTGTATTTCTCTCTCAGTTCTTTTCCTCAAGCCTCCAGATCACTTGCTTCGCTATGTTACACTCCCTAAAATGCTTTATTTTTCACGGTTCTCTAGTTTTTTCTGTTGCTACATTACATTTTTGGTTTCCTTGATGCTTCTGGTTAGGCTTG